CATGAAAGCAGCCTTAGACAATACGTAAACAAGTGAGCATGGCTTTGATCCAATAAAACTTTATTGACACAAACAAGCAGCAGGCTGCGTTTAGCGTATGGGCCAGAGTTTGACAAGCGCTGGTCTAGAGCATTCTTTCTTTGCCAAGATTGGCCACAGAGGCACTGGAGATGCCTTCCAGAGGAGGCCGCACTGCCCCCCTCCCCCGGCGCCAAAATAAAGCAGCAGGTTTCTTTGTCCAGGTAGGCGTGAGGTGGTTTGTGGGTTCTGCCTTAAGTTACAGAGTTCTCTTACCTCTCCCTCCACTTTATCCTCTAGCCCCAAAGCTGGAACTCCAAAACCCAGCTCTTTGCCAGATCAGCCCGGCCTCTGGCCTGCAGCTGCCGAAGAGGCTCACACTTACCCACCTCTGGCAAGGTCTAGGAAGCCAGCAAAACCCACGAGCCTTTGGCCAAGAAGCTGCACTTCCTCAGGTGGGCCAGGAGAGAAAGAACTGCTAGACCCATGGATTTTCCCTTGTGCCCCAGGTCCCGCCACTCTAGTAGCTGAGTAACCGAGGAGCCAGAGTCCTCGGGGGACATCCCAGAGCCAAGAATCTGCCAGCCAGAACATGGGGAGCCCCTCCCTGTGCAGACCAGCAGCAGCTGCTGTCCTGAAGGCCTGGGGCTGGCACTGCTCGGGAGAGCTCCAGGTGTCACGGGGGGTGGTGCCCAGAGCTCCCTGGGAGAGCCCTCCGAGAAAGGGAGCAGATGAGGCCAGACCCATCACCTGGCCTCGGAGAGGTCAGAGGTTGGGAGGGAGAGAGTGGTCTGAGGATGGGGGTAGTCCGCACGCTCCCCGACTCCCTCTCTTGCCACAATCAGACCCTCTCCCCACTCACCACCATGGAAAGCAGAGTGAGCGTCCTCACTTGCCATGGTCCCCAGTCAGCTGCCCTACGCTTCCTTCCCCCAGAGCTGACAACTTTCCTGCATTCAAGTTCCCCATCTGTGCACGGAGGAGGATGTGATCCATCTCAGAGGGCTGTGCCTTCACCCAGGCACTGTCTGGGACTCCCTCCCAGCATCGTCTCCTGCTGGTGACCTGGGGGAGCCGGCCCCTGACCCAGGGACTGAAACAGCGTTCTTCCCAGCCGCCCTCTACTCCTTTTCCAAGTCATCCCCTGAGGGGACAGCAAAGCTTGAGACAAAGAACACGAGATGGATTCATCTAAATTCCAGCTATTGGGCAACTCACTTCTCTCGGATTTGGAAAGACTCAGAGGGCGCCACCACCCATCTCCCCCTCCAGCTGACCCCAGAGAATCCAAAAGCAGTCTCTGCTCTGTTTCCCTATAAACAGCCCAGCCCCTTCCTTCCCCACCCTGCCGTGTGTCTCACACCCTGCCTCCCAATCACTGGGGGTCAAAGACTAGTGGTCAAAACCCACAAGTCAGCTGGGACCAGGTGACTTCGGCCCATCCTTCATCCTGGCCCCGGCTCAGCCTTCACCCCACCAGCCCAGGCAGGCAGCATGCGTCCCAAGGGTCCAAGCACCCACCACCTTCCACAAGCCTATCCTCCTGGCACTCTCCACCCCACCTGCCCTCCCATCTGCCCTCCCTCCCAGACGGTGGGCTGGGCCTGCGAGGAACAGGACGGAAGCAGAGTGCCCCCCACCCCCCGCCACCCCCACCAGCGTTCAGTCTAGGAGATTCAGAGCAGACAGTGAAGGTATCGAGGCTCACGGTGACAAGGACACAAAGTTGCAGCCCCTAGTTCTAGAGACAACATTTGGATTTTGATCAGAACAGGGAGGGGGATGAAAGGCACCCCACCCCCACCCTTCTCCCTCCTGGTGAAGAGTCTTGAAGTGGAGAATTCCAAGAAATCCCTCTCAGTCCTCTGACCAAGACCTCCCCAGGGAAGAGGAGAGGGAGAGGGTTGCCGGCCAAGCCACCCAGAGGCCTTTCTAGATAAAGCCTCCTGGGACAGGACAGGCAGAACAGCCTGGCTGCGCTTTGATCCTCCTGCCCTGTGGCTCCTGTCAGCTTCCCCTCCCCTCCCCTGAGAGAAAGAATAAAGTCCAGCTGTGAAGGGGCAGCGTGCACCTGCTACCACAGGACCCCACAACAACTAGCAGAACCAGGGGTCTCTCCAGGACCCCTGGGCCCCCTCTCTCTTCGAAAGAAGACACAGCTAACAGGAGTGAGCGTCGAGCGTCTGTGGATCTCTGGCATGGCAGGAACGGGAAGCAGCCAGACCCTTCAGGAAGGGCCCAGGGTCCCAGGCCCACTCAGGCCAACGCTGCAAAGCTCCCCGCAGGGCCCGCCCCTCACCCCTCTCTCTGCAGTAGGGTCACCTCCCATTTTCAGAGGATGGAAGGAGCCGTGTGTCCGGAAAGCGGCTCTCATGCAGGTCCCCGCGCCCTGCCACGCCTGCCTGTGGACCTCCCCGCTGCCTCAGTGGCTCCCCAGGGCTTCTCTCTCGCTGCTCAGGCCCTGGGTACCCGCCCGTGGGCCCCTGCTCTCCAGCACTGATGTATTCGCACACCTCCTCGCCTCCTTGTACAGCCTCCTAGATGGACACCAAACAGAGCCTTGTGTCTAACCCAACACCTCGAGCCCATCACCCACCCCATAGGCATGACAAGGGCTGAATACGGGGAGTCCCCCTCGCACCCGTCGTCAGGGTCTTCACCATCAATCCGTCTGCATCAGCCAAGTCATCCTAAACATTTCAACCAGCCTGAGGCTGCCCAGTCCAAGCAATATGGGATTCTAGTAACCTCACCACCCCCATCAAGTAGGACCACTTCCCCATCTGGAGATCAGGAATGCCCGCTGATGGAGAGGATGGCCTTCTCCAGCCGAGGAGCTGGAGACCAGGACCTCTGAGGGCCCTGTTCCCAGTATACCCACTGCTACCGTTAAGCCCTAGCCTACCTTCCCTCCAACCCGGGGATACATGCACTTACAGGGGTTCCTCGGGGCTCGCAGGAGGGAAGGAGCTCTCCGTGTCTGAACTTGGACAGACAGGATGGGGCGCTGGCTGAGTGGGGGGTTTAAAGGGCTGCTGCCGTGGTGATGTCAGCCTCCCCCGCTGGCTCACCCCTCGGCCCCCTCCCTGCTAGAAGAACCCAGCCTGTTCCCCACCCCCGGCCCCCCCAGTGACTCCACACAGGCTCCATATTTGGGGAAAGACACCAAGTTGGAGCAGTCTGCCGGGGGCTGCCCGAGACATTCTCTGCGTGCTTTGGAGATGGAGCGGGCGGGGCGGAGCTGAGCTGCCGAGGCCGGGAAGCCGCCGGGGAAAAGCCTTTTATGGACAGGACCATGAAGGCCTTCCCTGCTCTCTGGACTTAGGGCTGCTCCTTCTTCACTGCTCCCTGCCCCCTAGTTTGAAGGCAGGGGAAATTCAAAAGGGTCTGGCCAGAGAGAGGGGAAAGAGCTGTGGGGAATCCATCCCTGAGGCTGGTGGTGGTCCAACCAGCCACCCTGTCCTGGGGGTTTCACTCTCCTTAGAGATAGGAGCTAACCTTTACTGAGAACCTATGACATGCCAGGCAAATGCTTTGCAAATGCTCTCATTTAATCCTCAGGGCTATATCGTGGGAGCATAATTACTAACCTCATTTTCAGATAAAGAAACAGGTTCAGAGTGCCTGAGTAAGCTCCAGGCCACGTAAGGGGGGTTGGGGGGGGGGGGCGCACGAGTGGCGGAAGCTGGGTGTCCCTGCTGGCCCCCGTGTGGGAGGGGACTGGCTGGCAGACTCACTCCTTCAGTTGTCCCACCCTGCTCAGGTTGAGAGCTTTCGGTGGGGGTGGGTCTTGAGTTCCCTGCTTTAGCTGCGGGTGGAATCTGGGGGCTCAGCGGCAGCTCAGTCCACCCTGGCTCCTATCCAGGCGGTTTCTAAGGCCTGGCAGGGCTGAGACACCAACACTGGGCGGGAGGCTCAGAGGCTGCTATCCTCCCTCCCTCCCTGTGGAACAGTCCCTACCTACCCTAGAGAACAGACTGGGCTCTATCACTCCTGGAAGGAGACCCACTCATATGTGGCTTGCACCTGGCCTCAAGGGTCTGGGGAAAGGGTACCCGAAGAAGGTGAGACTACCAGTGGGGTCTCTTGGGCTGCCCACTGTGAGGGCACCCCACCCCTTTCCCTAGGGCGGCCTGGCAGGGAGGAGCTAACACTCTCCACCACACCCTGGACACCCTCCAGGAGAGGGGCAGCTGAGCTTGGCACTGGGCAGTGGGCGGCGGAGGGGACGCCCACCACAGCCAGCCTCCTAACGCCTGAGCCCAGTGACGCAGAGCTGGAGTGCCCCCCAGTGGTGTTTGCTGGGAAGTGCAGGGAAAGGGGCGGGGGATCTAGAGGGCAGTGCCCCTCTGCTTAGGTCTGAATTCACCAGCTTCCTGGCCCCCCAGATCTTGGCCTCCTAGGCCTGTTGGAACCGAAATCAACTTTCTAGGGTCGTTTCCAAATTCCCTCTTCTGGGAGCCCGCCTGCCCTCTGCGTGCACCTTTAGCCACCATACAGTCTCCATCTTGGGTCCCCCGAGGACCAGCCCCGCCTTGGCCTGCATTCTCCTGGCCATTACAGTCACATCAGGCAGCACTGGGCGCACTCGCAGCTGGCCAGGCTGGGAGAGGCTCAGGCCAGAAGGGAAGCCGGCCTGATTTGCAGGTGAGGGGCCAAGTGGGCAGAGGCTCTGCCATTTGCCAGGTAAGGGGGGGCGGCGGCGGCGTGAAAACTTCTTCACTCCACCATCTTCACTGCCCAACACGGTGCCTGGCACGGAGCAGGCCCCTGATACATGTTTCCTGAGCTGATGCAGTTGCTCAAAGGGGAGGAGAGACACGGGGGACTCGAGGACACATGGGGAAAACAAGGGAGACTCTCTTTTGTTGAAAAGAGAAAGGCAGACCACAAGAGCTGGGAAATGGAGGGCCTCTGTCCCACCCTTGCTTCTCAACACCTCCACCCAGAACGGGGGAGCAAACAGGGGCCCGAGAACCGCGTCTGGCTGTTTCTTTAATTGAATGCAGACTCATTCATAGAAAACAGAAATGCAACCACAGCCTGGAAACAGACATTAAATGGAGTTCTGAAAAGAGATCCAGATCCACCTCCTCTCCCCAGCTCCAGGGAGAGCTATAAAAACAAGTTGGGCAGAATAAAACACACTCCCATCCCCAAGGCAGAGGCCCAACCTGGCCTCCCCCAGTCTTGGCATCTGGAATGGACCAGGTAGGGTGACGGGGATCGAAGGACCAGAGCAGCTAGGGGCCCAGAGCTGGGGCAACTCAGTGTAAACTCCAAAGTTTCCTACACATACGTGTGTGTGACTAACACAAAACTTGGCCGAAGACAGGACGGAAACACAGAAGCCAGCCCTGGGTCCTAGAGTGAGGCTGGACCAGGGACACTGAGGGGAGCATCGTGTCCCTTCCTGAGCCTCCTTCTAAGATAGGCACTGGGGCTCCCACGGCTGTGAGGAGGCAGGAGAAGCTGGGTGCCTCATGTACCCCTCCTTTGCCCCTGGACATTCTTAGGCAGTGTCAATGGCACTGGAAGGCCCCCAACTGGGGCTTGGCAGGACGGAGGGCTGGAAAGAAAAAGGAAGGGAAGGGGGGAATTTGTCTCTCCCTCCAATCCTGGTGCCAACATCAGTCTGGGGGCTGACGGGATAGGAAGGTGACCTCTGAATTCAGCCCCTCAAATCAAGGCGACTCTCCCACATGGACTGACTCTTACTACTACAGAGCCGGTCCCAAGCACAGGTCAGAGGGGGGAGGCTGCACTGCCTGCAGCCCCTCTTAGGCCTTAGCACCAAAAGCCTGGCACCAGCTGGCTGGCCTCCAAAATCCTTCACCCCCATTCATCCTGACTTGAATGGGCAGTGATGGCAGTCAGGGACAGCCCAAAGGGCGGTGGGACCCTGGCGCAGGACAGAGAATCAGGCCCAACCAGGCCCTGGATTGGAGCTCGGGAAGAAGGGCTTGGGGTCACAGGCTCCTGGAGAAGGGAAGGACGGGCAGAAGAGATGAGATGGGCAGGGCAACACCACTTCCCTCCTTCCTCCTGCAAAGGGACTGATGGGAGAGCCAATGGACAGGGCCCGTGAGAGGCCCTCAACACTGAGAAGCAGAAGCCAGTGGCCAACATCTGGGGCTTTAGGGGAGCAGGCCTCCTCCCCGGCAGAGGGCAGATGCAGGGCTCACGGCCCCCGCCACGACTGTCCCAGGCCAAGCGTGGGCTAGACCTCGCTGTCCCGCCACCACCCACACTGGGCCGCAGGGCGGGGACTCACACCCCCAGAGCTACGGAGGCTCTGGGCAGTGAGGCAGAGGAGCTCGGGGGCCCCTGTGAGGAAAGCAAGGGGCCTGGCTCCTGCTAGAAGACGTAGATCTTGTCCCGCTGCACGGTGTCCAGGTCGTCGTCCAGCGTCAGCAACACCTGGGGGGGGGGGGGGACGCCGAGTCAGGCGCAGGCCGCCAGGCAACCTGGGCCTCTACCCACCCCCGTGCTGGGGCAGGGCAGCCTCACGGACCAGGAATGACCCAAACATGGCAATGGAGGACAGGAAGTGCCAGATGTCGTGGTCGTCAAAGAAGTCCAGGAGGATGCAGTCGCGGTTGTGCTCCCGTGACTCCGCAGGCGTTTTCTGGGGAGGGATAACGGGGAGAGCCACCTGGGACGCGGCCCACCCAACCGGGGCCAGACCTGGCCTGCGGCTCCCTGCGTCCGCCCTGCTGCGGCGCCAGGCGCGCGCACCCTCCTCCCGACTCACCCTTGCCCTGTCTCCCACATCTGAGAATCGGCTCTTTGTTGCAGATTTCTCCCCGAGGATGCTGGCTTCTGCCCTTTCCTTTCCCTTAGACCCTCCTCCCTCCGATTCTTCTGCCCTGTATCCAAGCAGCAGGGTGAGTTACCTCGAGACGCTAGAAGACCTCGGAAGCCTCCTACCTTGGGTCCCTGCCTTGGAATCAGCACCTGCAGGCTCACTCGTTCTCCAGAGCGTTCTCGGCGGGTCACCCCCCCTCCCCGCCCAAGGACAACAGGAGCCATGACTGTGGGCCACGACCTAAGGCTGCTCAGGGTCCTCCCTGCTCCCCCATAACCTTATCCAACCAACACCGACCAGACAGCACCGTGTCTGGGGCCGTCCGTGCCAAATGCTGAGATGACAGCAACTGTTCTGCCCTCGGGAGTTCACAGTCTCACTCAGTTCCCAAATTCCTGCTCTCGCTGACCCTGAATCTGCCTCGTCTAGTGCTGCCTCTGGGTCATGACTCCGGTCACAGCATTGCTGGGCCACAGGGCCCTTTCTCATCACCCAAGGCCTTTAGGGCCATGAGCAAGGTCTGCCTCCACCAGGGAGCTTTCCTGGACCTCCTCTGTCCTCGCGTCCATTCCCCCTTCCCGTCTTGTCTATATGCTTTGCCTTGTGTATTATATTGCAAAGAGCAGTCCAGGAACTGATGGTCTCTCTCTCTCTCCTGAACTAGATTATAAGTACTTCAAAGGCAGAGACTCGGCCAGACTTGGTTCTGATCACAGAATCGAAACGTGATTCATGGCAGGTGCCTATGAGGCAGAGGGGAGAGCCTGGTACTTCTGGTTTCAAACCCCAGCTGTGCCACTCGGGGGCTGTGTGCCCCTGGGCAGGTCCCTTGGCCTCTCTGAACCTCAGTTGCCTCATAGGTAAAATGAGGGGAACCGCCCATGCTGGCATGTTGAATGTCAGGAGGGTGAAGTGGGAAGGCAGCTGTGAAAGCATGGTTAGCGCTCACAAACGATGTCTGTGAAGAGAAGTGGCCATTCGTCGGCTCACAGTGAGCCTGTGGGCAACTCCCCACCCTCCCGGCGGGATCGCTACTCACCTGCCAGGTGCTGAGTCCCTGGAAGAAGAAGAAGAGTGCAAAGCCCCACACCACGGAGGTGCAGACAATGCAGAGCAGGGGGATGAGCTTGATCCGTTCCCCACTGCGTAGCTGGGCGGGGAGGGAAGAACAGCCTGAGGGCCAGACCCTGGCCCAGTCCGTTTCCCCGCCTGCCCTTCGTGCCACTTCTCAGCATACAGGATGGATCCTTCAGGAAGCCCTCCTAGATTCACACCCTCACCTCGAATAGCTACACAGTTACCTTGCCCCACACCAGCAGCCTGGTGTCCTCACCCCTGATGTCCACCCTGGCTAGGCCTCCATGTGCACAGAGCCCCATGCTGGCGGGGTACACTGGCCAGGGGGCTCTCCTTGGGCAGAGGCTCCTCTCAAAACTGGAAGGCAGAAGGGTCCCTGCGAAGCGCCCGGCCGTCAGAGGCCCCTGCCTCTGCAGACCTGGTGAGCCCCAGCTCAAACCCCTCTGCACCGCACGGGGCTCTTCCCTCCTGCAGGGCCATTCCTGGAGTAGGGAAGGGTCTCTGGATACAGCTGGAATACATGCAAGAGACTTTGGCCTCTCCCCTCCTAGACCTCATTGGCAGAGATGAAGGAAAAATTCCCACTCCCTCTCAACGCTACCCTGAAGCAGGCTGTACCCAGCTCCGTCCTGCAAAGGCAGGGCACCTGGCGGAGGAGGCTCAGCAGCCCCCACTCACCTTCATAATAATGTAGAAGGCGAAGTACAGAAGCAGGTTGCAGATGCCAATGGCCAACAAGTAGGAGGCGAAATCATTGGGGCGCATGATGAGCCCATAAGCAGCTCTGGCAAAGGGAGGAAGAGCTGGTGAAGCAGGGGAGGGCCAAGAGCAAGAAAGGGGCTCTCCCTCACCCCTACCTCACATTTTATTATGATGTGAGCCCGGGTTCAGAGGCCCACAGAAATTCTAGAACCCGAGGTGCCAACATCTCTCTCCTGAGCCCCCATTTCTCACGCCCAAAGCTTAGAATTTGTCTGTGGACCCCAAGGCAGCCAGTGGCTGGCCCAGTCCCCAGCTGTCCGCCCAGCCAGGCTACCACAGACAATGGCCAGACTCACAGTGACCAGTTGATAATGTTGCCCATAACCAGCAGCACCATGCGGTCCTGGAGGGAAGCAGAGACACGGGGACTGAGAGGGGGAAGAGAGACAGGGAGAAAAGTGGAAGAAGGCCCAAGTCAGCCGGTCCCCACCCTCCCCTGGGCTCTCAGCGGCACTCCCCCCCCCCCCGCCGAGGGACAAGAGCAGATGGAGGAGGAGGGCTGGGGAGCTGGGCTGGTACCACATAGAGGGGCCCGCTGCACTGCCGGATGCAGTCTGTGTAGAGCACGTGGAGGATGCGGCGGCAGATCCCGGAGTCTGCAAGAAGGGCAAGTGCTGACGGGCACCCCTCTTTCCCCGGCCCCTGGCCCGCGCAGCAGAGAGAAGCCCAGGCCTTCAGAGGGCACGGCTATGCCAACCCTCATCTAATTCCTCACTCTGATTCTTCCAGGGCCCCCAGCCAGAGGGCAGAAGCCAAAGTCGGCAGTGAGTCTGGGTCCCCGAGGCCACCGAACCCTCATTCTGTGGGGCCCAGCTGCCCCCCTCCACGCCCTGCCCCGGGCATGCCCTCACCCAGCTTCCAGCGGCCCATGTAATAGAGCTGGGTGCTGAGGAGCAGGGTGGCGATGATGTGGATGACCGAGAAGACGATCCAGAACGCTGTGTTCCCTTTGCCGAACACCTGTCGGGGGGCCGCCGTTGGAAGGGCTGAGCAGGCGCTGAGGAGAGCCGCTCCCCCAGCCCGCCCTTCCTCCCGAGGAGCGGGGCTCGGAGCAGGGGCCGCGGGTGCGCGCACACGTGTGCACCTCCCCGGCGGGGCGGGCGCCACGGGCCAGGGCCTCACCACGCCCAGCACGGAGAAGAAGATGACGACGGCCAGGCAGGCGTAGGCGCTGTAGGCGCTCGCGTTGATGTCTGGGTGTCGCTTCTGGTAGAGCTTCAGCATGCACAGCCCGGCAATCATGTACATGAATGACGTGTCTGCGTTGGGGACAGGGACGTGAGCTGTGAGCACATCCTCCGAACCGCAGCAGGGGGCCCCCAGCCCCAAGAATCCGGGTGGCAGAGACAGCCCCCGCGCCTTCTCGTGGCCACAGAGCGAGCCAGCGCACTGACATTTGAACTCCAGTCCCGTAACTGTCCCTAGGACACCGCACCGCCGCCCCCTGGCCGGCACCCAGCCTGACCTCCCCTGACAACACGGGCCATAGTCTGAGCACCCTGAGGTCAGGGACCATAGCCCAATTATGTTCGTTTTCTCGGTGTTTATCCGTGCCTTTCCATAGAACACACAACGAACGAGTGCGGTTGCACCGAGCTGCCTCTTTTCTATAAACTAGGACATGTGTGCCCACAGGAAGCCCAGCTCCGGAGTCTCCCACAGGGCTGAGTGCTGGGGATCCCGGCAGGGAGGACCTCAGGCAGGGCCTGGCTCTCGGTGCAGCCGGGGAAGAGGGAGGCCCCACTCACCAAACTGGAAGTTGGTGTAGTTGGGGCAGACATGATAGCAGGCACTGAGCAGCCCCTCCATCATCAGCGCTGTGCCCATAGCATAGAACAGGCCGAAGTGTTTTGGGATCCCACATTCCTGTTGGGGAGAAGTGAAGGGAAAGAGGAGGTGAGGCAGGAGGGAGCGGGGGGGTGGGCGGAGGGAGAAAGGGCAGAACCGAAGAGAGGGCGAGCAGGAGAGAGGAATGGAGAGGCATGTGGGCAGGGCAGGGCAGGGCCGGGCGGGGCCGGCCTGCTAGAAGGGCCTGGAGCCACGGCCTCAGCGGCAGGTGCTCTCTCACCAGGGCATGGAGGTCATTGCGCAGCAGGGCCCGGTTGTGGTTGATCTCCCGCTGCAGGATGATGAGCAGGAAGAGGAGCCCCAGCAGGATGTACCCCAGGTTGCTCAGGATGTTGTTGAAGGCGCTGGAAGGGGCGACAGGGGGCGCTTGGCCTTGGCCCCATACTCTGGCCTCTTCCCCACCTAAGGCAGCTCTGGGCAGAGCGCCGGCCCCCACTCCCCCCATACCCTAGCTGAGCCCCGATCTCCACCTGAGGTTGCCCAGGGGGTGGGCACAGAGGAAGTTGTAGTAGCAGATGTCCTGATTCCCGGTGACATTCACCACCTGCAGGGGAGCGGCAGGGGCTGCTAAAGCACCTGACTCGGCCCAGAGCCCAGGCGAGAGGGAGCCAGGCCCAAGCCCGGGCCACACCACACAGTCCCACGCGGCAAGCGGCTCGCGGGCACATCGGTGCTCCCGGCCAGCCCTCTCTCACTGCCCCCCCCTCCCCCAGTGCTAGGTGGAGCCCAAGATCATGGGGCATGACCATGACAGAGGGTCTTGCCTCACAGCACAGAGAAAAGGGAAGAGAAACCGAGACCTACCAAGTCACATGGGCCTAGTTGCGTAAGCCCTGTGACAAGCTGCGGAAAGTGCCGTCACTGTTGCGTGCTGCCCCATTTTGCAGATGAGAACACTGATGCTCAGGGAGCTCAGCTCACCCAGCCCATGAGGCAGATTTAGGATCTGAACCCGGGTCCTGTGACCTACGACCTGTACGCACGCCAGAGCCCCAAGCTGGGACGCTGGGCGAGGGCGCTCTGTACAGGCCCAGGGGAGCTGCTCACCGTCTGGTACGTGATCACCAGCTGCACCACAGGAAGTGCATAGAAGACAGCGATGGTGGCGATGTTCCTGCGGCGTGGGAGGGCGGCGGTGAGGAGGCAGGACCCGAGACGCCGCCGCTACACCACCCTGCCAGTAACAGGAAGCCCGGCCCCCGCGGCCCGCTCACCAGAAGTAGATCTGGTACTTTTTCCGAAGGATGCGTTTGTCCTTGCGTGCCAGGTCGGCCACGTAGAGGTATTGCTGGGGAGAAGCTGGAGTGAGCCCCGCTTTCCCACCGCCCGGGAGACTGGGAGAAGCCCCTCTTGCCCAGGTTAGAGGAGGACATGAGAAGTACCCCCACCCCTCCCACAGGCCATAATTCTGCAGGGCATGGCTCAAGGCCACCCCGTTGCTGCTGGCCGATTAGTCTGGAAGGGCTGGGAGCAGAGTCGGCTTCCCCTGGAATCAATCCTGCCCCAGTTGAGCTCTTTCCCTTTGTTCCCCTAAGGTGTCACCCCAGAGGGAGATGTGCTAGGGCCTGAACACAGAATCTCCTTTCTTTGGGAAACCCACGGCCAGGGCCAGCCCGCATGGCATCGGACCTTGGTGCGAATGACATTCTTGTCCGAATCGATGTCAGTCAATGTGTCGTAGTCATCCTCCTCCACAGAGCTCATGGAGTCCAGGCGAGGCCGAGTGCCCACAGGGTCTAGGGAGCGATCTGGGGTGGGCAGGAGGGAAGAGTTAACCAGTAGGCACAGAGCCCAAGGTCTGTCCCCACCCACCTGGGGCAATTGTCACAATTACTGGGCAGTGGGAAGAGGCAAACTGTGGGCTCAGAGCAGGGGTGGAGGTGGGCTCAGGCCCAGGGCAAAGGTATTGGGTGCTCCTAAGTCCTTGAGGGGAACAAGGGTGGGTTCTGGGAAGAGGCCACCAAACAGGGGGCCACCAAACTGAAGTAGGACTTCCAGGCCAGGACCCTGAGCAGACCTTGGGCCCCAGACACAAGCAACAGGACTGAATTCAGCAGAAGTCATGCTGATTAGGTGCCCAGCCGTGTGGGTTCTGAGAGGACACTGCCTTGGCCCCCACTGGGTAGAGACCCAGTGGGCTCTGGGGTGCAGGCAAGGGTGACAGGCTGCCTCTAGGAAGAGCACCTGCTCCTGTTCTTTTCCGGTGCCTTCAGAAGCTTCCTCCTGCGACCGTGCCTGACCGGAGCCCCCAGAGGCCAGGACATGACACCCCTGCCCATGGGCCCTACCCCGGCAGGCCAGGGAGTGAGGGTTTGGCAGCAAACCACAACATCCGGCCTGGGGGCGGTTGGGTGCCAGCCCACCAGCATCGAGGCCAGTGCCTGCTTCTCTCACAAGACACAAGAGCGGGCGATTATTGGCATTAGATGGGGAAGCCATGCACAAAGCGTCTCCCTGGCCCCCTGGCAGGAGCTGACTGGTGGAGCAGCACCCCCCCACCCCACATCTACCCATGGCAATGCACAGCTGCCGCATCTGGCCAAAGGGGAGGCGCCGCTTGAACTGGTCGTGCCCTTCAAAGGAAAGGGAAAGTTACCGGGAAGTGGGGCCAAGGAGGCAAGACGGAGAGAGGAGGGGGTGAGGAGACAGCAGCCCCTCTCCCGGTGCCAGCGCCTGCCAGAAGGGGCTGGTGCCCTTCACCACGCTTCACCCAGCCTGCTCGGCCCCGCCGGGCTCACTCACCCTGGTAACCGTAGGACAGGTCTCCAGTGCCCGAGCTGTCGACCAGGCCGTCCGTGGACCCGGAGCTGTTCTCTGCGGGGCACACGGGACGCCGTGAGGCCGGTGGGAGGGCGCGGGGACGCTGGGGTTGGGAGGGGCCCGCTGCCACTCTGCCGCCTTGGAGGGGGACGTCCAAGGAGGCCAGGCTGTGAGTGGGCAAGGACAACCTCTGGCGCCGACACGTACCAAAAGAGCCGTAGTTGTAGCCCTCATACGGGGAGCTGCCAGGGAAGGAGTCGGCGAGCACCCGAGGGTGACCTGCAAGGAGAAATCGAGGTCCCCTCAGCTCTGGAAACAGAGAGGGGCCAAAAGCCAAGGAGAAGAGAGAAGAAAGACTCCAGACAGACACGGAGGGGCCACGGCAGCAGCAAAGAATAAGCACCTATCCTGACAAACACACCTCGCTCCCACCGCCAAAGGCTGCCCCAACCTCCCACTGTGTCCCCGTGGAAACCCTGGCCATCCTTTGTCCTCGCTATGGTGGGGGGGGGGGAGGTCAAGGAATCGATGGGTCTAAATGGCCAGCTAGGACAGCGAGCATCGGCCTGCCCAGGTCCCACCCAGACACCCCGGTGTGTCCGCTCCCTCCCCCATTCTGGACCTCAGCTCCTCTGCCCACAGCACCTGGAGCTTACCAAGGAGAGAAGCTGAGAGAGAAGGTCCCAAGCAGGAAGGAGGATAGACAGAGAGGGAAGGATGGAAGAAAAGGAAAGAGAATGAAAAGTTAATCATCGCCCAGACGGTGAGCTACATCGCCTGAGGCAGACAGTGTAGCCAGACCCAGAGAATGAATCGAGTGGCAGCCGTTAAGGTGGGCACGTTAGGGTCACAGGGGTACAACAGCCCAGGCCCGTTTCCATCTGTAGAGTGTTATTCCCAGTCTGAATATCCAGAAGCCCCAGCTGGCCTTTCCTCCTCCAGCCCCCAAGGGATCCATCCAGCAAAGCACAGAGCAAACTCTGCCCTCCCTGCCCAGGCCCTCTGGAGGTACCGCTTTCGGGGCAGGCTCGGTCCATGGCCACCAGAAGCGTCTTCTTCCTCTGCCTGCAGGAACAGAATCCAGAGGCAAACCAGAGGGGCAGGATGAGGATCCCTCCAATGCTGGGCCGGCCTGCCTTCCACCCTCTCCACCCCATAACCCTGTCCTCCATCTGTGATCTTAAGGTTCCTCCCAGGCTGGGAAGCAATGCGCGGTTTCCCTACTTGGGTAGGAGGTTGAGGGCAGGGGTTGGTTTCCAGAGGAGAGGCCCATGGACCACCGACCCTAAAAGTTAGGACCCGTCTTCCTATGCCCCATGATGGTGCGGACCGTGACCCCGGGCTGGCTCAAATCCTGCCAGGCCAGCTCCCCTGCTCGACCCACCCCAGTAAAGGGGGACGCCCGGCAGCCCCGCTTTACCTCCAATTCTCCCAACAGGCCAGGAGGATAGTCAGCAGATAGAAGGAGAGAAATATGCCCAGGCAAAAGAGCATACCACCAACATAGGCCTCAGCTGTCGGGGGGTAAGGAGGAAGATGAGCATACCAAACCTTCCAAGACCACCCGTCACGGCAGACGAGGGCCCAGCCACAGCTCCCCCCACCTCTTCCCTCAGTGACCTGGTGGGGTGAGCAACAGGCAGGTCCCCAAATATGCCAAACTCTGACATGATTCCTGCCTTCACTCCTGTTGCTCCCTCTGCTAGAATTTTCTCCTCTCCCTCTTCCTCAAAAACTCCATCCTGTTTTCAAACACAGCTTCCTTCCAAACACAGCTCGGGGAGCGGGGGGGTGTTGTGTCCTCCAGGAAAGCTGCTCTGTCCTGTGGTCCCAGTGACCTGTCCTTTGCCCTTCATAGCTCTCAGAATGCTGCGAGCCAGAGGACTCAGCCAGAGCATAACACCCGGCACACAGAAGGTACTCGATAAATATTTGTTGGATGAAGAATCCATACAAGAGAGGCAGCTTCTTTCCCCTCCCATTACAATCCCTTATTTTTATCTTATATTTTCCAGTTTACAAAGGGCTCCATCCAATCACTCAGTAAATATTTATCGAGCATGACTAAGGGGCCTACTACTTTCCTGCTAATTTTGTGCTAAACCTCACAACTTGGTAAGACCCCGGGACAGAGCCTATTACCCACCACGATAGAGACAGGGAAACTGAGGCTCAGTGAGATTGCACTGCTCACAAGGGGCGGAGAGAGAACAAGAACTCAGTACATCAATTGTTAGTCTCGACTCTACCACATCACTCAGGGACCCACCTCCGGGCCGCCCATCGTGAAGGGTGCCAAGAACACTCCCCCTTCCAGGCCCGCCAGTCTGCCATGTAGGTCTCCCTCCCCCTCCCCCAGGTCTGAGAGGCAGAGCCACTCAGCCACCCACACTCACACGTGACTGCTCGAGATACCACCACGGACAGGGTTTTCTGGCGGTGCCCTTGATCAACCGGTTCATCTGGAAGCAAAATGTCAAACAAGTAGCCGCCTGGAGCTTGGCTAAAGTTTGTAGGACCAGGCCTGGGAGAGTCCAGGGCCAAAACCCCAAACCCGGCAGAAACCCCACCCCGCATCAGCCACACAGGTTCTTCTACCTCCCGGGGAGCGACTGAGCCCTCCCCAACCCTGGCCAGGCCAGGGCACACCGTGTACCTTCTACAAAGGGGTAGAAAGGCAAGGAGCCCCCACAGGCCTGGTCTTCAGTCTTCACCACCACCACCACGTAAAAGCTATTGCTGGGGAAGTCTTTGCGCTGCAAGATGATGATGATGATGATAAAACCGTCATCACCATCGATCATCATCAAAATCAATCAACAAAATACACACATAATTTTACTCAGCCCTCACTAAGATTCCTACAAAATAAGTACTATCATTATCCCTATTAGGCCTTAGGGTTACACAGCCGGTAAGTGGTAGAGTTATCTGGCTCTAGAGCCCAAACCATGACCCTATGCTCTAGCCAGGTGAGCAAATGTGTGTATGACCTACCACCGTGAAGCCCATGGGTGCCCCATTACGGTCTGGGCATCAGCCAGGAGAACAAGTGGAGGGGCCCCTACTGCCTCCTAAGAGTTGCAACTCACATGTTGTGAAGTGAACATAATATGGCTTGCACACCCTGCCCCCAGCACAGGTTTTAGCCTTCACCAAGGGCAACACTCAGCATCAGCCAGGGCCCTTTTCCCTCTCTCTCTCTCTCTCTCTCTCTTTTTTTTAAAGATTTTACTTATTTATTTGACAGAGAGAGAGAGCTCAAGCAGGAATGGCAGGCAGAGGGAGAAAGCAGGCTCCCCGCCAAGCAGGGAGCCTGATGCAGGACTCGAGCCCAGGACATTGGGATCATGACCTGAGCTGAAGGCAGATGCTTAACGGACTGAGCCACCCAGGCGCCCCCCCTTTCCCTCTCTTAGCTATCATTACAGTGAATGAAATAGATATGACAGCCAGAAAGGGTACTCTGCTCTTTCCTACTCCCCAAGGTGATTGGGATGATGATTCAACCCTCACATAAATTGCAGAGCCCCAAACCTCAGGGACTGGCAGGCCAAGACTCAGTCTTATCAGTAGAGTAGAAATGGGGTAGGGGTGAAGGACCAAGGGTTTGGAAAGCTCAGCACCTGGCTACATCTCCCACAGGGCCATGCGCATTTCCTACCTGCACAGTGATGGCGGCCTTCTTGGTCATAGTCTGGTACATGCCGATGAAGGCTACGTTGTTGTCTAGATCATATACAGGGCACTACAGAGCGAAGAGGGGAGAGGCGAATGGGCAGGAACCTGGGCCCTGGGCCCCCTCTTTAGCAGCCCTGCTACCCGCTGGTGGAGAGCAAGAAAGGGCAGGCAACTTACCAGGACATCCTGGATGGAGATGACTGAGCAGGGGAAGGCCTTGTTGGAGGTCACCTTGACAATCACCGAGTCCACTCCCTCCGGGAACTCATACTTGAAGTACTGAGGGCACAGGAGGGCAGGGAGAGACCCATCTCATGAGGATGCTCTCTCTGTCCCTCTAGAAGGGAACAGTGTATATCCTCTCAGGGTTGGGCAGTGGAAGCTCTCTGGGGAGAAGGACCCTGACCCTAAGCAGCCCTATTACATCACTCCCCTCAACTTCAGGTGGGCACTCAGGATAGTGTCCCAAGAGGCAAGGAGGAGAGGTGGCGGCCAGACCCCATGCCTCTGCAAGTCCCACGCGGCCTGTCCCCTGACCACCTCAGGGCCAGAGTCCTTCCATGGCGAGGGGACAGCCAACCTGGGATTCCCAGCAGGGTCTGCCGACCACTCCCACTCCCATGTAACCACTTCTCCTCCCAAGGGTCTGTTGCCTGACAAATCTTACCTGGGGCTGGGCTGCTGTGGTATTGAAGCTAAACTGCTCCCCAGTCCTGGAGGGAGAAAAGCCCCCCCCATCACGGTCACTCCCTGAGCTTGGCAAGGAGGCCAGGCCCGTGGTCCCCTGGCATTGTCCTTGCACACCTGAGCACGAAGTCGTCCATCCGGCTGACCCGGAGCTGGTAGGTGGTGTTGACCAGTGACAGGGTGGACACATCCACGTAGAAGAACTGGACCTCGGACTCGTTCTTGGTGGGAGGCTGGCACAGCGTTCGCTCCACCTTTTGGTAGAGGTACTTCCGCTGATACCTATAGCCCAAAGCAGAAAGCCAGGACGTTACTACTGTCCCAGCCAGCAAGCCACGCCACAGGAGCAAGGCCCCAACTCCCCCACTCTGCTTTCCAGCTTCTCCCTACTCCTAACCCAGCTAGGCTGACAAGCTCCAAGTTGGCAGGCTTGCCACTGAGCAGCCCCTTGGTTCAGGGAACAGCGAAGAGAAACAGAGGGGCTCCTGGGTGGCCTGAGGCCCTGGATAAGGCCCTGGGTGAGGCTCTGGGCCTGGCCTGGCCGAAGCCTACCCCCCTCCCTGACCCCCAGGTCCTACTCACAGCCCTCGCAGGATTAGGGGCACCTGGAAGGACACCACAGCCTCCTTCTGGCGGACCACAAACAGCAAAGGAGCCCCCTTCTGCTTGTTCAGGACATTCACAGACACACGCACGCCTTCTGTCTGCAGAATGATACGGAAACACCCCTCAGTCAAGCCTGTAGGACTCCACCTCGGCTCCTCGGGACACATGGCTCCAGACACTGAGCCCTGCCCTCCGTCATGCTGACCGCTTTGTTCCCCCCCACCACCACCACCCCCAGTCAGGCTGGGCAGCAAGCTATGCCCCTTCTTCTGCCACATCAGCCCCAGTCTCCAGGAGGGATTTGCCCCGAGTTAGAGAAGCTCTTAGAAGAGGCCCTGTCCTGGCTGGCAGGTATGTGCAGGGCAATGGGATCCACACAACTACAGGGCCTCACTTCCCAAAAGGAAACACAACGGAGACCTTGGACATCCGCAGGATACCCCATACCTATCCATGTTCTTGGGATATCCACGCATAGGGACACGGGGACACAGGAGAGCAAGAAGTGTTCCTCAATTTTCTTCCTTGTGAGCCAGGAAGCCCCCACTCAACAACTAATCTGGGGGCCAGAGCCAGTGGGGAGGTGGGGAAAGAGACTGTGGAAAGCTAAGAAAGCCAAGTTCTATCCTTAGCTCTGACCAAGGGCTAGAGCTGTGGAGAAGTCACTTCACACTTCTGAGCCTTGATATCCCCCTCTGTAAAATGCAGACACTCTCACCCTTGGCACATGGAGGAACATACACAGAACAGCGGGAGCCAGTAATATCAATCCTGGTAATGCTTGGTATTGGGCTGCTGAGACCCAAGCCCTAGGGCAACGTTTCCCTAAGGGGTAGAAGACCATAACTCTCAGGATGACCCCAGTTATGGGGGAGAAGGAAGAAAGGACTCCAAGCAGGAGGACATCAAACTTCAGAGAAACAGGCACAGAAGGCAGACCCCGCCCCATCCTGAAAAATAATCAGACTGCTACTATCAGCTCTACCCCTTCTTAGTAAACCCCATCATGGAGAGTGTTAGGCAGGAGACCACAGAGCCAGGCTGCAAGAATTCTCCAAATCTCAGCTCTGCCCAGGGTCTAGACTTCCTAGATCTAGCTCAATCAACATTTAACTCGTGGCTGGGGAAAAAATGAAAGAGAAAGTCAGGGTGAGGTAGATTCCTCATTGGACAGAAACTTCCTCTCTCCTCCCATCCCCCTTGGAGTTGGTCTTATCTCCACCACCTTCTACTTACAAGGCCAGCTGGTTTTCTAAGGCAGAAAGAGAGCTGGGAAGTCCTGCATTCATCTCCCTGGGGAGTCTCAGCTATAACTTGGCTGGGCAGAGCCTTTCAGTCGGCCTGTCTCATCTCCTTGGGGTTTTCTGGGCCAAGCCCAGTGGCTAGCCTGCTTCCCCCTGCACCCTGACGAGTGAGGCTATCAGATTTGGGGTGTTGGACCAGCCCTGCTCAGACCACAGCTGGTGGAAAGGAGGGGGTCAAAGAGAAGATGGGAAGGAGACAACTTTAGAAACTGTCCAGTGGGAGCTTCAGAGAGACGCTGGTGGCAAAGCAAGGAGGACTGGTCAAGAGAGTCCAGTGCGGTTCTGGGAAAAGGAAACCCGGTGGGGTGTGGCGTTCATGGGCCTCCTAAAAGAGTAGAGGATTGACTGACTCGCGGAGCCCTGGTCCGCTCACCCACTCACCACCAACCCCCAGCCCAGCGCAGCCCAGCCCTCACCCGGTTTCGGGTCACAGTGTGGTTGAAGGTGTAGATGTTGACCAGCTCGCTGTTGACCTCATCCACGTAGGTGCGCTCAAACTCGGCGTCTTTCTGCGAGACGTTCTTGGGCCCCAGAACCCCCAGATGGCTCTCGACCGAGGCCACCAAGAGCGCCAAGAAGGGCAAGCCCGGAGCGAACATGGCCCCGGCAAGGCGGCGGCGGCGGCGGCGGCGGTAGTGGTGGGGACGGTGACAGGCGACAGAACACCTCCGGGACGGGTTGCGGCTCCGGCCGCAGCTTCCAGCATCTCACCAGGACCAGAACTTTAACCCCGGCCTGAGATTAGGAAACGTCTCCTCCCCGGAGCCGCAGAGACGCTCCTAGGGGGCCTGGCGAGCAGGGGCGGCGGGAGAGGGAGGGGAGGGTGTGGGGTACGGGCCAGCTCGCGAGGGGCCGAGCGCGGCCGGAGACCCCGCGGCCGCCGGCGGGGGCCGGGAGAGCCGGGGGGCGGCTGGTTGCTGGGAGCTTGGAGACGCCGGGGAAAGGGGAGGGAGGGACGGAAGCCGGCGGCGGGGGCGGCCGGGAAGGGAGGAGGGTCTGAGGGTGAGGAGCGTGGTAGGTGGCAGCGACCCGACGCCGCGCGGCGCGGCGCGTTTCCTGGGGGCGCGGGCCCTTTAAGGGCGGGCGGCCGCCGCAGCCCCGGGGCTCCCAACTCCGGGGACCGCGCCGGGCCGCGAGGCGGTAAACAGCAGGGCGGCCGGCCCGCCCGCTGACGTCAGGGGAAACTGACACAGATTTAAAGGGCCAAGCCCCGGATTGGGCCTTAAAGGGGCCACAGCCCTCCAGCTGGAAGCCGCCTCGAACTCCTATCCTGCTACCACCTCCTCTTTCGTCAACCTACCCGTCTCTGGAGGCTCACTTTGGTTGGAATAGACGGATGTCTCCGTGAAGGATCTCCGAGTGTGGGATTCTTGTTGACAAAGTCTTCTTTGCTCAAACGTAAGGATCTACCTCCACCCTCACTGCCTTTACCACCAACATCCTCCATCCTTGGGCCATTAAGAAAGGAAGAACTCAATCAGGAAACAGGACGGGCGCCTTCCCGGCGGAGGGATGGCTGAGGCACAATGACAGACGGAACCTCTGTGTCCTCTTACTTTCTACTGCAGCGGCCGCGAGGCTTCGGGGAGGCCTGGAAGCTTGCAGGGCTTTCTCCTCTTCTCTGAAGAGGCAGCTAAAAAGCTCATTGAGTTAGTGACTTTCAGTATAAATCGATGAAAACTTTTCTACAAAACATTTGGCCCGTGTTTCAAGAAGTTTAAAGAGCTTTATACTCTTTGACAGAGTAATTTCACTTTTGGGACTCTATCCTAAGGAAATAAGAAATACAGGTTAAAAATGTGTAGGCAGGCGCCTGGGTGGTTCAGTCGGTTAAGCGACTGCCTTCAGCTCAGGTCATGATCCCAGTGTCCTGGGATCGAGTCCCATATCGGGCTCCCTGCTCTGCGGGCAGCCTACTTCTCCCTCTCCCTCTGCCTGCTTCTCTGCCTGCTTGTGTTCTCTGTCAAATAAATAAATAAAATCTTAAAAAAAAAATGGGTAGGCAGTAATGCTTATTATTGCAATATTTATAATATAAAGCATAAAGGAAACAGCCTAAATGTCCATAATGAGGGAATGGTTAAAGGTGCTATTATCATGAAGCCATCGAAAATGATGCTTAAGACTTTGAGGAACATGTCAGCAGAGAAGTCACAATATGACACTGTGTCAACGGTCTGGCTTCCAAATACGTAGGCATGCATAGAAAAGCGTTGAAAAATCTTTGAATTACAGATGATTTTTAAAATGGCATGTGTCATTTTCCTCTAATTCCAAAAGTATAGAAAAGTACCAAAAAGAGAAGAAAAATCACTGGACTGTGGATGGTTTCAAAACGTTTTTATACCTTTTAAAAATGTATAAATTTTCTACTATGCACATGGGTTTTTAAGACAAATTAGATATGTTTAAAGGAAAAGAAAGAACATGGCCACCTCTGAAATTGGCAGACACCCGGATGAAGCCACCTGCGCCAGAGGCTTGTGAAAATTCTCTTGCTCCCAAGATTCCAGCAGCCGCAGCTCCTGCCCCTGCCTTATTCTCTGGGCTTTGTTCCAACGAGGACTATTTTATCTCATGGCCAATTATAAATATTTATTCATTCCTGCAATACATATTTAATGGGCACCTACTACGTGCAAGTACTGTTCTTTTTATACTAGGCAAATGGTGCGTGCAAGAATTAGACCTGGCCCCCTGCCCAAGCAGTCACACTTGAGGATGAAGATCAGAAGCAGGCTGCAGGTTCCGGAGAACCCTAGAAAGTCAGACCAAAGGGAACCTTAGCAGACTCCTCGACCAACCCCTCATTGTGCAGACAGGTAGTGAGTAGCTTACTAGACTCCAGCACGTCTAGACAAACCTGAATCGGAGGACCCTCGGGATAACAGGAAGATTTTTCATTATAAGCCCATGCAGTCAGCAGCCCAGTTGGGGTAGTCGATGTAGGATTTCCACATTCCAAGTGAACTCCTCCTCATCTTGCCAGTAAATCTGGAACTCAAAGAAAATACTCCCACTCTGAGTTTGAGCTCCCCACTTAGCTTGACGTAATTTAACTGGTTTCTGCAACTTTCCTGGGTGCTATGAGAACCACTAGTCTCAGCTATAGGCTGGTTGGTCCGGGGGCTGTACTGAATAAGCCCAGACTGGGGGCATTCCAACTCTGCCTCTTAGGCCTTGGGGCAAAACGTGCTCCCCCCCAACCCTGCCCGGCCTGTTTAAAATGCATATCCAGACACAACTTACAGTTGCTGAATTGCAGTCTTTGGAGGTGCAGCCCAGGAATCTGGGTTTTACAAGCACTCCAGAAGCTTGATATGCACAATACATTTTGAGAACCACTGCTCTGAGGCCAGACAACTGGGACTGGGACTGGGACTGCTGGTATTTGTTTGCTCCCTTTCTTCTAGCAGTATCTTAGGAGAAATCTATCTAAATAAACCCAGAAGGGATCCTTCCCTTTCGCAAGGGCTCATGGGCTTAACCTTTGAATCCTCAGCACCCTCTGTGTTCAAACAGGGTAGGAGGGCAGCAGCCCCATACTTTCTTGCAGTTCTCAGGTCTGCAGAACTTTCCTCAGCCCTTCTGCCCCACCCCCTAGGGAGGGAACAGCAAAACCCAGTTATGAATAGGTCCTTTCTCAGGTCTGGCAGTGCTGAGGAGAGAAGGCCTTTTTGTCGGCTACAGCAGTTAGCATAAAAGGGCAGTGCTGGGTCTCAAAGCCAGACTTATGAGAGCAAAGGAGGAGACGTCAAGGCCTTGGGGCAGGCCCCTGGGCTTTCTGTGCTGGTCCAGCTACTGCATTATCTGCCATGTTATATAAAAAGCCCAACCCATGGGGCGCCTGGGTGGCTCAGTCGCTAAGCGTCTGCCTTCAGCTCAGGTCATGATCTCAGGGTCCTGGGATCGAGCCCCGCATCGGGCTCCCTGCTTGGCGGGAAGCCTGCTTCTCCCTCTCCCACTCCCCCTGCTTGTAGTCCGTCTCTTGCTGTGTCTTTGTCAAATAAATAAAATCTTAAAAAAAAAAAAAAAAAAGCCCAACCCCAGCCCTGGCAATGAGGGCAGGGTGGGGTCACAAGGCTCAGATGACTTCCTTCTATTTCCCTGTGGGCCATCCTACCGATCCTGAGTGCAGAAAAGACCTAGGAAATAGGACCATTAACCAGGCAGCTGATGAGGTTCCCAGCTTTCCACAGGGGGTCGAGAGTGGCCGTGCCTGTGGGTGGGTGCCAGGATCAAACCCGACTTTAGAACTAAGTAACTTTTACCCAGAAAAAAAAAGAAGTTACACAACCAAGCCCTCTAAAGGAAATGGACTTAAGTTCCCTGTTTTCATCACGACCATAAAAGGGTCTCAGTGTATCCACGCGGAGCTCAAACAGAATTGCCCAGCAGCCGCAGCGCAAGAACACTGTACAGCCCTTCTTTCTCTTCAGCGTGCAAGTGCTGTTCTTTCTCAGGGCTGCCCTTGGGTTTGGTCATCTCTCCAAGGACTATGAAAATGGGATGTGTATCAGATTAGGAATCAGAGTATTTACTCCATCATTCTGGGGCTCAGGTCTCAAACCCGTCACATGGCTTCACGGTACTATGGAGAAAGGACTTTGTGTCAGAAAGTTCTGTGTAAGTCCCTGCACTGGGCATCGTAGGCAAATTAAACTTTCTGACCCTTCAAGAGTCATGTCTTATGTCCATTTACCTCCTAAATGCAGCGCAGGGGAGCTGGGCTTGGCTGCATTCGTCATCCTGAACTACTATCTCGAGTAGGAGGGGAGTCAGGAAGAGCAGTTTTGACTGAGGGGGCAAATTTTCTGCCACAGACACATCAGCCACTTTTCGTTTCCTGGGCTTTCACCATTCAGACTGAGAAACGTGAACACCACATTCAGGCCTTGCATCCTGTTCCCTGCGGCCATGTGCTGGAATCAACATCAGAGCTTTGCAGGAAATGAAGCTGGTCAATCAGGCTGCTGAAAACAAGGAGATAAACAATTGATCAACTCAAATCTGTCTCCAAAGATCACTGATTAAAAATGAGCCATCCTCCTATCTCAAGAAGGCTTGGGTCTCCAGCTACGAAATCAGAAGATGCAACTCAAGAAGCTTTTCCTCCTCTCTGGCTGTTATCTAAAGATAACATGGCAGCTATTCAACCCTTATTCCATGTAGTTCTCAATAAAAGAAAGGGTCCCCTCTCTTTACACTCTGGCTCACATATAGGCCACCTCCCATAGCATCTCCTGTTACCTCACTGGTCCCCAGAGCCTTCACAAAGGTGATTCTCTCATACACGATACATTTGTTCCTCTGAACCAGTCTAACTTTTTATTTGGTTTTACTTTTCCTATAAAAACTATCTTATTAATTCCGTCTAGTTTCAATCAATTCCAGAAAACGTGTCGAAAACTTCTGTGATAGGTATGTATGACATCTGTTTTTGTTTTTAAAAGTGAATTTTGTTTGTCCTTATTAATAATGTGCATTGTTGCTCACAAGCAGCAGTGTGGTATCATTGAAAGAACAGGAAATGAAGTCAAAAGATTTGTGTTTCAATTTCAGTATTGACAGTTACCGGCTAGATGACCATGAACAAATCACTCCATCTCCTGTTCATTCATTCATTTATTCAATGCCTAGTTTGTACTAGTCACTAAGCTAGGTGCTGGGAACATAGATACTTAAAACACATTCTCTGTTCTTAAGAATTCATAATCTAACAGTGTAGAACAAATAGTAAGCATATAATACAGAGTAAGTGCAATGATAAAAGATTTACACACGGTATTATGGGAACTCAGAGACGAGAGATCTAGTACAAACCAGAGCTGGAAATCAGGGAAATCAGGAGAAATCAGAAAACACCCCAGGAGGTCTCCGAGGGGGGCTCCAGAAAGATGAACAGAAGCTAGCCTAGCAAAGGAATAGGAGCATATTCCAGACAAGGGGTCTCAACTTGGAGCAAAGTCACAGACTCGAAGTTCAGTGCTACTGGCATGAAGGTTCAAAGGGGTGGGAGGATATGAATTGAAGAGGGTCAAGTCATGGAGAGCACTGGATGTTCTAATGGCTTGGGCTATGCGTAATTATTGATGAGCTTGCTGCAGATGCGTCATGGTCAAAGCTTGAGCAGTATGTAAAATGTTTTCTGAGATCTTAAAATCGATAGCATAAAATCAAGCCAGAGTAGAAGAAAGACTGCATGTTTATCAAACCTCTAAGACCTTTGCTTCGTGGCTATGTAAAAATATGTAACCGAGTGAAGATTTCACCCCTGCTATGACTGGAGGAAAGTAGGAGATGGGACTCTCCTGCTGGTTTTGTCGTTTTTCCCCAAGTGGGTGCTGGCGAGGGAGCCTTCCCTCCTACCCACTTGTCCTGGCCAGTGAAGTTCACATGGGCTAGTAGTTTGGATACACTTAACAGAGGGGCCTGGGCTGCTTTCATTGCTGCTCTGTGTCTTAAGGGGAACCAGTGAGCCGCTGACAAAGGCAAAGCCTCTGGGGGAGGAGAGGGCAGAGAGGAACCTGGTGTGATTAGATATGGGAGGAAGACAACTAGAAAAGCAAAAGTATCTTAGTATCTCCACATTCTATTCTCTTCCAGGAGTAAGCCAGTTTAACCCAGTAGCCATCACTGCGGTGAAGGGTGATAAAGTAGATGCTACAAAAAACAGAGGAGCTTACAGCAGCTAAGGAACATTTTACTGGCGGATCAGTTTGCTGTAATTACTGCTGGCGTGGCTGGGGGCTAGTCATCAGGCTAGGCCCTGATGGGCCAGTTGAGTAAGTGGCCCTTGCTCGAGTATCACGGCTATGAAGAGGCCATACTTGGGTCAGGCTGTTTGAGACTGGGGAGGCAAA